ACTGTATTGTTTGATCTACGGTCATTTTACTGGTCTTTTATCGTAATTGCCACCCAGACAGCAGCCCTGCAAACACGGCCAATGAATAACGAATCAGCGAATGAAGCCAGCTGGGCAGGGACCCTACCGGGCGGCTCTTGGCCATCCCCGTTCGTGGCGGCTGGCCTGGCGGCACCACTCAACAGCCAAAGGAACTGAGCAGAAGTCCTGCTCCCACTGGGGGCGAGCACGGCCTCCCCACCGCCTGCCCACACGCACGCCGAGTGAGGAAACACGCTCTCTGTCCGGGCACAATTTGCGCCAGAGACGTCATCCCGAGGCTCCCCAGAAGCTCACCAGCTCCTGCCACGGGGGTGCGAGAGAGGTGCCTGTGGGGGGGGGGATTCACCGGGCTCCCAAGCCCGGCCGCCTGGGCTCCAGTCCTCTCCGCAGCGGCCTGGGGGCCAGGTCCTGGCGAGCGCACGCTGCGTTCAGGGGCACGTGCCAGGAACCGAGCCCCCCGCATGGCGGAAGCGGCGCCCCTTTTAGGGCACGCACCGCTGGGGCTGCCGTCAGCAGCGCGTGGGAAAGAGGGCAGGAAACGGGGAACGGCGGGCGCCTGCCACGCCTGCTCACGATGCCCCCGCGGGCTGGGGGCCCGCGGGGGATTGCAGACCTCCCTTGGCCCGGCCCACTTTGCAGGACCTACAGGACGGGAGGAACCCCCGGGTGCTGGGGGGCACGGAAGAACCAGTTCAAGCTGCAGCAACCCAGATTCAGGTGGGACGTCAGGAAGAGCTTCCTCCCTGCCAGAGCAAGACGGCAGTGGGACCAGCCGCCTGGGGAGGTGTGTGTGTGTGTGGGGGGGCTCCCACACGGGAGGCATTCAGGACAAAGCTGGGCAGCCCTCTGAGCGGGGCGGGGTGACGTGCTGTCCTGCGCCAGCAGGGGGAGAGGGCCTTCTGGCCCCCTCCAGCTCGGCAGTTCAGGGGTTCCATGGGGAAGGGCGCCGGAAGGGTCGTCCCAGCCCCGCCTGCTGGCCTGAAGGACAGGCAGTGCCCTCGCCTCTGGCAGGAACGGCCGGGTGAGCTCGGGCCCCTAAAAGGGCAGAGTGGGGCGGCCCCGTCCACCGTCTTTGGCAGTGCCTAAGCAGCACCATGGCGATGCCTGCCTGACCTGGGGGAGCCCCTCCCCCAGAATATTCCCAAAGCAACCAGCAGGCAGGAGCCCCAGACACGCGCTCTGGGGGTGGGGTGGGGGGCTTTGCCAAGGCCGCCCCATGCTGCTGCCGCCGCCCAGGCAGACACGATCTCCCGCTGCAGGGCCTGGAGCACCCAGGGAGGGGCTTGTAGCTGGGGGGGGAAGGGAAGGAGGCGGAGGCCCCCGGCCCCCCCAGTCCTGTGCCTCCGAAGCCCTGGGGGAGCAGGCCCGGCCGGGCAGACCTGGGCGGTCGCCCCCCCGCCAGCATCATGTGTGGGGTGGCTTCTGAAGGCCCTCCTGGGGCAAGGGGGGTGGTGGCTGGTGCAGCCGCCCTGCTGCGCTCTCCGTGGCCCGGGCGGGGGGTGCTGGTGGGGGCCGCAAGCCGGGCCGGCCTATGGACTGGGGGGTCGCGGAACACCCCCGCAGGGCAGCTCGTCCTGCTGAGAGCCGCCAGCGCCTCGTGTTGCTGTGGCCAGCAAGGCCTGCCGCGCTGGGGTGGCCTCCCTGGCCTGGCCGGTGCAGGAGAGCATAGCTGGGCTTGCCTGCCCCACTGTGCTCTTGCCGGACGGACCCCTGCGCCCCCCTTTCCCAGGCACCCAGCGCAGACCTGGCGACTTTGGAAGGTTCGCTGATTTTGTAGAATACTCCAAGCCGGTCCGTCTAACTCTTGAACGGCTGGCGAGTAAGAGGCAGGGTGAACATCCAGGAAAGAGACCGCGAAGTTCCTGCTGGAGGAGTCCTCGTCGGAAGGAGGGTCTGGCTTGCCCGGGGCAGGGCTCCTGGCGTGAAGGGCACGGCAGAGAGACGAGGCAAGGGGCTGGCAGAGGCTGGGAAGAGGGAAGCCCCTCCGTGCGGCACGGCAGAGCGAGGGCCTTGTGGCGCTTCCAGTGACTGCGCTGCTGAGCAAGATGCCACGCGTCAACGGACGTGTCCCCGAAGGTTTGGCCTGCTTTTGCTGAAGCTTATGAATACTTGCTGCATTGAAAAGCCTGAAGGCAGGCGGAGTTGTTATAATTATTTCGCTCTTTTTCCCCTTCTTGCCTGAGTTCTGCTTTCGGTTTCACGGCAAAAAATAGAAAGAAGCTGCTGCTGGCCGAAGCAAATGGGGGCTTCCCCCGGAGAGGCGAAGGCAGGAGGAGCCACGCAGCGCCCGGCCAACCTGGAACTTGGGCGGAAGTGGCTCCCGCTTCCCCCCTCCGGCTCACGAGTGGAGGCCCCGCTCATCGGGCAGCAGTGGCTCCATCCTGGCGATCTTCTGGATGAGCTCGGCCTCCTTGCGCACTTCCCTCAGCGAGCGGATCCTGCCCTGGTAGCCGGGCTGGCGGTCCTGCTCCTCGGACACGATGAGCAGGTCGATGTACTCGGGCGTGGAGAGCGGGTTGGGCTTCAGCGCGATGGCCTGCAGGCGCCGGAGGCTCTGGGAGGACCGCTGGATGAGCGCCGCCACGTCCGCCCGCACCTGCTCGTACTCCTCCCGGAGGCACCGCAGCACCTTCTCCGCCGTCATCGCCTCGGCAGCGGCGCTGTCGTACCGCAGCTTCAGCTCTTCATAGGTCTTTGTCTCCCTGATCACTTTTCGGATGTACTTGTACTTCTGGAGGGAGTGGCGGACGGACTCGCAGTGGCCAGGGCAGACGCGGCACTTTCCCGAGGCCAGATCGATAGCGTAGCAGAAGCCGAGGAAATTGCCCCAGGGCACCTGGCAGGCGTGGCAGCAGGTGACCTGGCAGGCATGGCAGTTGTTTGAGTAAGGGTCTGTCCTCTCAGTCCCCAGCTCCGTCCGTTCCGCTTCGAACTCAAAGTCCTGGTTGGCTGCCATGTCCTCCCGGTGCTGCGCCAGGGCAAGCTGCGTCTCCCACAGCTCTTCCAGCTTGGCCAGTCCGGCCTGGATCTGGGACCGGACCCCCTCCATGACGGTTGCCAGCTCTTTCCGTTCCCGGAGGACTTCCTTCGTCAAGGTCAGACTTCTGGTTTCCAGTTTGTCCAACGAGTCAAAGAAGATCTTCACGCTGTTGCCACCCATTTTCCAGATATCTCGTCCAAAGCGATGCTCCCAACACCCTTAGGGGCATTGTCGGCAAACAGCGCCAAATTGTTAACTGCGAAGTGAAGAGGGACCCCACGGGTGTCTTTCGCACACGGCACATCGGCTTTCCTGATGGCCTCCAGGACAGGAGGCATCTGTCCGTCTGCAAAGGTAGCCAGGACTTGGATGTTGTCCCTGATGTCTTTCCCAAAAATGGAGAGCACCGAGTCAAAGACGTATTTCTGGGAGGGCGTCAGACGGGCCAGGGAGGCCTGGGCCACGAAGCAGACCGCGTGGATGCAGTCAGCACCGCCCCCGGAGGAGAAAAACACCCGGATCTGCTCGGTGATGAGCTTGTCGTCCTCGATTCCTCTCGTGCTGCCAAACCCCGGAGTGTCGATGACCGTCAGGGAATAAGGGATCTGGAAACCCTCCTGATGGTTGAGCACGTAGGCCGTGATGTCGGACGTCTGGCTGTCGGCCTGGGTTCCGCTGGTCACCTCGTGGATGAGCTTGAATCGGAAGGGATCCTCCCACTGCACGCCCAGGATGTAATTGACCATCCGGTTGATGTGCGTGGTCTTCCCGGACCCCGTGGCCCCGATGAGCATGATCACCTTGTGGCGGACGTGCGGGTTCCCTTCGCCCAACGTCAGGCAAGACGCTGCCCCAGATTCCTTCCTCAGGGGGAGCACGTAAACGGCCGGCCGGCCCACCTGCACTCGGGCGCTTTCGGTGCAGTACCTGTGGGCCGCTGCGCCCGGTGACGCTGCGCCCGCCATCTCCCCTCCCCTCCGAGAGGCTCTTCTCCGTCCCCTGGAGAAAAGGTACAGGGCAGCGTTACTGGAGGGTGAGGACCTGTGCCAAGCCCTCGGGACGAGGCAGGGGCCCATCCAGCCCAGCGCTCTGGGCACGTGGGGCCAGCCAGCTGCACCCAGGATCCCGCCGGCAAGATCCCACCTCCTCCCAGGTCCTCCAGCAGCCACTGCATCAAGGCCCACTGCCTCTGACCGGGGGGGGGGGGGGGCTCTGACCCCCAGGGCCAGGAGCCACATATTGCCACATCTGCACATTTGTCGCTCCCCTGTTGAAGTGGTCCAAACTGGTGCCCATTGCCACGTCGCATGCAATTGAACGCCACAGTTTTCTGCGCATGGTGGGCATGCCATGAGCAGCGCCGGGGTCAGACTAGGTGGCCAAGGAGACCCCTCCCGAGTCCCTCTGCCTCTGTTTCTAAGAGACCTGCTGGAAGGCGAGGCGCTCCCAGGCCAGCGGGAGCAGCCAAGGACAAGCGGGAGCAGCGCTGTGGGGTGGGGGGGGGGATGCTCCGGATCCGAGTCATGCACAGCGGCAGCTTCAGGGGACCCCCTGCGGGGGCAGAAGTCAGGCCTCGCCTCAGAAGGCTTGCTGCGTGTGGCAGTGGGGGAAGAGGAGCAGCCCCCCCCCCCCAGCCGGGCCCCTGGCACAGGGGACGGTCCCCCCGGCCGGCAAACACCTGCCTGCGTCCGGGAGGGGGCAGAGCCCGTGAGGGCGAGGCAGCGAAGGCGGCGGGGCCCCGGGCCACGAGGGGCGCCCCGCCGGAACGCCTCGCCCCCGCCTCCCAGCGGGCTTTAATTCGAAGGGGGGAGTGTGTCCCCCCCCGCCCCAGCTGCATCGGACGGGAGCGCAGCGGCCTTCGAGATCCCCGGCCGAGCGGAGTCCCGCACGAGGCCCGCCCCGGCGCCGGGCGCAGCGCAGCTCTCGCCCTCCCCGAGGGCCGCACCTTTGCCGGGGCCGCCGCAGCCGCCCGCTCTCGCCCACGGGGCGCGCCCGGCCGAGTCGCCGGGAGATCCGGCAGGGGCGAGGCGAGCGCCGGGGCGAGCGCTTGGCCCGAAGCAGCGGGAGTCCCGGCAGCGAGCGCGGGGAGGCGGCTCGGCTCTCCCGCGTCTCGTCCCCGCGTCGCGCCGGGGGCCGCGCTGCTTTCCCGGAGAGCTGCCGTCCCGTCCCGTCCCGGCGCTGGTTCCGGGGCCGCGCCACTCACCGCAGCTGCCCGCGCCAGTCCCGCCGCCCGGCCTCTCGTCCGCCTCGGCGCAGCCGTGCAGCGCGCCCGCGCCCCTTCTCCGCGCAGCTTTCGGTTCGCTGCCAGGAGCGACAGGATGTGCGCGCGCGGGCGGGGCGAGGCGAGGGGCCCGCGCAGCGCTCTCGACCGCCCCGGAAGGGAAATGGCCAAATGGGGGGGGGGGAGATACTCGAGGGGCAGCGCGCGCCCCGGGCAAGCTCGGCGAGCGGGGTGGCCTTCTCGCCTTGGCCACTGGAGGGCCCGAGTGCGCCCCCTGCGGACCACGGGGCTGGCGACAAGGCCCGGCTTGAGAGGGCGGCAGCCGCCGGGCGTCTCGGCGAGGGCGCAGAAGCGCCCCCTGGCGGCAGGCCGGCGGTCCCGAGCGCGCTCCCCGCAGTCGCGGCATTTCCCAGAAGCGGAGCGGCCGCTTTCGCTTCGCAGAACGCGCCCCGCCGCCGCCGCCCGAGGCCGCGGGCCCCCTGGCCAGGGCCGGGCGGGCTGGGCGCTGGGCGGGCTCTGGCAGCGCTCCGAAGCCGCGGGGGGGGGGGGGGGGCACGCGGCGCGCACTGGAGCCGCGCCTCGCTCGGGAGCTCGGGCCCCCCAGGCCTCCCCCCGCACGGCGCCTCCACAGCGGTCAGGAGACGCGTGTTCCCAGTGCAGGGAGCACTTTTGGTAGGAGGAAGA